GCCCTGACAGCTCCTAGCTGCAGGTTCGGCGCCCGAGGTCCAAAGCACCTAAGGCGGGAAACAAAAGTAACCGGATCAGCTGCAGGAGCGAATATCTAGAGAACAAGCACCAACTTAAATCTGAACGTTCGAAGGTCCGCGCAGATTTCTCGGATCGGCGCTGGACTCCCCTGGCGGCGCCTGCAGCGACGCCCTGGGCGCGCTCTGCGCCAAGGAGGGGGGCCCAACGCTAATCCAGGGAATCCGCGCGGACCTGCGAAAGTGTATGTTTATGCTGCTTATTTTGTTTGTTCGAATGCAGTCGGGGCGTTCACCTAAGGAACTCTGAATAAGGAGCGAGGCCCCTTTTTCCCCATACGTTACACTTCAAAGTCTCATCGAAAACCAAAGGAGAACCTAAGGCAAACTGTGCATCTATTGAGGAGCACGGAGCCCCATCCCAACGAAACGGGTTCTTTCTTCAGCGCCCCGACTGTATAGAGGGTGGACTCCGCGGGCACCCAAAAAATCCTGGCGTGCCAGCCGTCATTGTTTCACATCCTCTCTGCCCTCCTCCAAGGTACACGTCGCTCATTTCTAATCGTGCTCGTTTCTAATTGTTCCTGGCCCCCTCGTGGCCAGGAAGAGGCCCAGGATAGATCAACTAGAACTGAAAGGATCCTGGCCCCCAACAAAAATCAAATAACTTCCGAATACTTAGAAATGAACCATGGGCACGTGCAGTCTTCATGCAATCTGCGCATGCGTGCACGAAGGCCTTCCTCCCCCCTGCTCTCATCCAGCCGCGAAGTCCACCCCTTTTTCACAGAGTCTGCGGCTCGCAGTTCGTTCTGCCAACCAGCTTGGCATCAAACATGAGCATATGACCACTATGTCTTTTGTGCGAATAGTGCTTCGGCCATAGCTCGAGGAGCAAGCCGATCTCAGCCTCTAGACTGATGCGTTCGATGCCGATGAAGTTATTGGTGCGGCCCCAAGTGAGTGGCAGGGCCAACGGTTTCGTGCCAAGGGCTCCCCAAGCAAGCTCAAGATCGTCCGAAGACGGCCAAAAAAAGGCACCCAGGACGCCCCGAGGCCCAAGATGGCCCTCCTCGACAAAAACAGGTGGCACGCGTGGCCTGGCGCTTGCACGGGGGAGTGGCAACAGGGGAGGCCGGAGAGGCCAGGGCCACCAGGGAGGCCAGGGAGTCCAGGGCAGAAGGGGGCCAGGGGCCAGGAGAGGCAACGACGGCACGACGACACGCCGCCGACGGCGAAGGCAGAGCGATCCGAGGCCCACGGGAGGGGGAGGCCAGAGGAAGCCCGAAAGCTAGGGCTCCCAACTTCGCGCTTCGCGCTCCGCGAAGCGCGAAGCGCGAATAACTTCGCGCCCTCGCGCCGCCCCCCCAAAGGGAGAAAAGGAGGACGAGGAGGAGGGGGAGAAGGAACGAGGACCGCGAAGCGCGAACCGCGAATAACTTCGCGCCCTCGTGGGAGCCCTTGGAAAGCCAGGGAGGCCAGAAGCCAGGGCTTACCACCTGAGACTGCACGGACACAAAAAGGTTCGAACTCTCTAGAGCACCATGGCGTAAGATAATCCACGCCATCCGAAGCCCTAAGGGGGGGGGAAGGAGGGGGCGGAACCGAGGGCGGCGGGATGGGGGGGTGGGGATGGGGCGGGGAGGGCAGAAGAGGGGGGAGAGGAGGGGCGGGAAGGGCACAAGAGGGGGGGGAGGGGGGGGAGGGGCGGGGGGAGGGGGAGGAGCGGGGAGGGTGGGGAGTGGAGGAGGCGGGGGGGGAAATGGGGGAGGGGCAGCGGGGGGGGGGAGAGGGGGGGGGGGGGGGGGGGGGAGGCAGAGAGGCCAAGGGAGGCCAGGGGAGGCCCGAGGCCAAGGCTACCAGAGAGGGCCAGGGAGGCCAGGACGGGGAGGCCCGGGGAGGCCAGGGGAGCCCGGAGGCCAGGGCCACCGGGCCCCGACGACACGACGAGACGACGGCACAACACGACACGACACGGCAAGGCTCGACGACGACGGCGGCGGCGGCGACGACGGCGGCGGCGACGAGGACGAGGACGAGGACGAGGACGAGGACGAGGACGAGGACGAGGACGAGGACGACGACGGCGGCGGCGGCGGCGGCGACGACGACGACGACGACGACGAGAATAAAGCAATCCGAAGTCCTGGGAGGGGGGAGGCCAGGGCCAGGGAAGGCGGGGGGGGCGGGGAGGGCAGGGAGGCCAGGGGAGGCCAGGGATGCCAGGGCCACCAGTAATATCAACAACAAGCCAGGACAGGGTGGCCGCCATGGGGAGGGCCCGACGACACGACGACACGACGACGACGACGACGACGACGACGACGACGACGACGACGACGACGACGACGACGACGACGACGACGACGGACGACGACGACGACGACGACGACGACGACGACGACGACGACGACGACGACAAAAATAAAGAAAGACGAAGCCCTGGGGGCCAGGGCCAGGGGAGGCAGGGAGAGGCCAGGGGAGGCCAGGGGAGGCCAAGGAGGCCAGGGTCACCACCCTGGGCTGGACTGGAGGAAAGGGGTCTGAGCTCTAGAGCACCACCACGCAAGAAAACCAAGCAAGAAAACAAAGGATGTTCCAAGTAGCTTTCTGGCAGATGTTCCTGTTCTCAGTTGTTGGGGTCTCCGACCACTGAAGACGGCCCCTAAAGGCCCCCAAGATCGCCCCATGAGGCCCCCAAGAGAGCCCCAAGATGGCCCATCCAAAAGAGGCCCCCACGACGGCCCAAGAAGCCTAAAACGGCCTAAGCGGCCGCAATAGGGCCCCAAAAGGTCCCAGAAGGCTCCCAGGCTCCAGACGGCCCAGGCCGTCCCCACGACGGCCCAAGCGGCGTCGGAAAGAGCCCGAAGAGGGGCCCAAAGAGAACCCCGACAAGCCTCCCAAGGGTCCCAAGAGGTTCCAATAAACTTCCCAGATGCTCCCAACAGTGTCACAACATGGGCCGTCGGAATTAGCGAAGCAATTCAACAACTCAGGGCATCTTAGGCGAAGCTTGATTGAGGAATAACCTCGAAATGTCGTTAGTGTTGATCCTCCCCCCTGTTTCTCTCGGCGGAGAGCAAACACGACCCTTCTCCTCCTCCTCCTCCTGCTCCTCCGTCTCCTCCTCCACCTCCCCACCTCCTCCTCCACCTCCTCCTGCTCCTCCCCCTCCTCCTCCTCCTCCTGCTCCTCCCCCTCCTCCTCGTCCTCCTCCGGCACCTCCTCGTGGCCAATATCGTAGTCGAAGCCGTCGTCGTCGTCGCGGCAGCGGAAATTATGAGGGCGCGCCGCTGGATCTCCCCAAGGGGGGGGGGGCCCCCCCACCCTTTCCCCGATCCGTCGTCGGGGACCCGCCCCCTCCCCCCCTTTCCCGATCCGTCGTCAAAAAAACCCACCCCCCCTTTCCCGGTCCGTCGTCGGGGGACCCCCCCCTTCCCCCCCTTTCACAAGGGGTGGGGGTCCGACTACCCCCCCACCCTCCCCGCCCCCCTCCCCCCCTTTCGCCACGGCGCCCCACTCACTATCCACTCACCACCATCCACTACTCACTACTAAGTAGTCACAAGTCACTACGCACTACTCGCTGCCAACAACTCACTACTCACTATCCGCTGCTCGCTACTCGCTACTCCCTACTCACTACACAGTACTCGCTGCTCACTACTCATTACTCACTACTCGCTACTCCCTACCCGTTACCCGATACGCAATATTCGCTGCCCACTACGCACCACTCACTAGTCACGACTCACTACTCCCTACCCCCTCACAACTCACTACTCACTACTCAATACTCAGTACTCAGTACGCACTACTCACGGCTCACTACTCACTACTCACTACTCTCTACTCGCTACTCCCTACACTCCAGCCCTACTCCCTAGCCGCTTCTCACTTCTCGCTACTCACTACTCCCTGCTCACTACTCACTAGTCGCTACTCCCTACTCGCTACTCACTACTCCCTACTGACTACTCCCTAGTCACTACTCACTGTTCACACTGGCCTACCCGCTACTCACTACTCACTACTCGCAACGCCCTACTCGTTACTCACTACTCACTACCCATTCCGCACTGCCCACTACTCACTACTCACTATTCACTACTCACTACTCGCTGCGCACTACTCACTACTCACTACTCACTCCTCACTACTCGCTAGTGTCTACTCACTACTCACTATTCACTGCTCACGACTCTCTTATCACTACTCTCTACTCACCATCCCGAGGCCAGACCCCCCCCCTTGCGGGAGAGGCCCCCTCCACGGCCCCCTGTTCGGCGCAAAGGGGGGGAGGGGGGGGGGTTCGAACCCTCCCCCCACCCCTTTCCAGCGCCAAAGGAGGGTGGGGGGGCGGGGGGCCGGAACCACTCCCCCCCCTTCAAGGGGGGGGGGGTCGGACCCCCCCCCCCCCCGTAAGAGGGGGAGAGGGGAGGGGGGTTCGAAAATCTCATCCCCCCTTTGAAGGGGGGGAGGGGGGGGGGGAGGAATCAGTGGTTGCGGTTGTAATCGTGATCGTAGTCGTGGTTCTACTCGTGATTGTAATCGTGATTGTAGTGGTGATGTTAGTCGTGATCGCAATCGTGATTGTAGTCGTTATCGTAGTCGTGCTTGAAGTCGCAATCGTAATCGTAATAATCGTCGTATCGCGGTCGTACCCGTAATCGTAGTCGTAGGCGTCGTCGTCGATGTTGCGCGGCGGGTGCTGCGAAGACATATTTGTTTCAGGTATTGTTTGGGCCCCAGTCCGTCAATAAGGGTGTCGAAATGATAAGTAGTTTCCACTGTTGGGGGGAGGTTCTACAGACCTTTCCCGGTTAAGAAGACACGGCGAAGGATTGCACTGGCCTTGCGTGATTGATGCGGCAGCCAGGTAGAAGGCGACGGGCAGCAGTCGCAAGCGCGCAGGCGCTCTGCCAACCACCTTGTTCCCATGGGTCCGATCGGGACCGTGGCCTTCACCGGCCACCTGAAGCCTAAGCGCGCTTCTTGAACAGCAAGTGGGTCACGAAGAACTCCGAGCCGCCGCGGAAGCGGAAGTACTCAGCGCAGGCGATCATGAATACGCGCCAGCGCCGCAGCGGGAGCGCGTCGCCGAATACGCCGAGGAGGTCCTCACGCCGCTTGTCCATCCGCTGCAGCCAGCCTTCCAGCGTCAGCGTGTAGTTCTGCCCGTTGACGTTCCACTGATTCTCGAGGACAAGGTCTTGCTGAAAGCCTTGCAGAAGGAACTGGGAGGGCATCGTCCCGCCCTTGAAGAAGTGAGTGGTCATCCATCCATTGAGGTCGTCCTCCTCGAAATGATAAGAGACGTACTTGTGGCACATTATGTGAACGAACAGCTTGCCCTGAGGCTTCAGCGCCACTGACAGAGAGCGCATCAGAGATTCGTAGTTCTTCATGTGTTCGAACATCTCGATGGAGATGATGCGGTCCAGGGAACCACCGAGGCCAATCAGAAACTCGTCGAACTCGGGCCTGGCAACGTTCAACGTCTTCACGTCCACGTTCGAGAAGCCTCGGAGTCTCGCCTGCTCCAGGATGTACGCGCGCTGCGTGCGCGAATTGCTGACGCTGGTGATGCGCGCGTTCGGGAAGCGCTCCGCCAAATACAGCGTCACCTCACGAGCGGCGAAAGCATCCGTGTCCGCGCCCTCGCGGTCTGGACTCCAGGGCACCATCCTGCGTATACGAAGTCGCACGGATATGCTCCGCGCGGGGTATCCACCGAAAAAAAACGTATCCGCGGGGTCGCGGCCGCACGGAGGAGGAGGACGAGGAGGAGGAGGAGGACGAGCAGGAGGCGGAGGGGGAGGGGGGAGGAGGAGGAGGAGGAGGAGGAGGGGAGGAGGAGGAGGAGGAGGGGGAGGGGAGGAGGAGGATAGGAGGAGGAGGAGGAGGAGGAGGAGGAGGAGAGAGGAGGAGGAGGAGGAGGCGGAGGAGGAGGAGGAGGAGTATGTGGAGGAGGAGGAGGAGGAGGAGGAGGTGGAGGAGGAGGAGGAGGAGGCGGAGGAGGAGGTGGAGGGCGACGACGACCCGCGAGGCCACGGCTTTCCGAGATGCCTCTCGCCCACGGATCACCGACCCCCAGCCGCAGCCGAGGTCGAGGATGGACATGCCGTCCTCGACGCCCGCCCGCTGCACGTACGCGTCCAGCATGCGCTCCTCCGCCGCCTCCAGGAGCGGACCGCCCGCGTCCGCCACCGCCGTGCCCGGGTCCCAGAGGCCGGCCGAGTACTTCTTCCTCTTGCCGAGGGCGATGTCGAAGAACGCGGTCTCCACCTCGTAGTGCTGCTCGTTGGCGTCGGCCGTGAAGAGCGCCACGGGCATCCGCCGGAGGCTGTCGGCGAACGACGGCACCGCGCCGACGTCGTTGTCGTGCGGGCCCTCGGTCTGGGCGACGAGGCCGTAGAAGCTGACGCGGAGAGCGGGCCGAAGAAGGATGTCCAGCACGGGCTCTGGAATGCGAACGTCCTCCATAACGGCCACGCCAAGCGGGTACAGTCCCTGCAACAGCTTCGGGAACCACGACCGGTCCCACGCCAAGGCCACGGCGACTACGGCAAGCGCCGTGAACCACCTCGCCATTGCCAGGAAAAACTAGCCAATCACACAAGCCCCGCGGCCGCCAGTGTGCTCAGTTCCGCCGAGCCACGGAGCCAAAGAACATACCCCGAGATGGCTTGATCCAAAACTGCTACGAGCAGCAGACACACTGAAGTCGCCAAGCTTCGAGATGCTCCAGGGCCTGGTCCGAACGAACAGCCTGCGCTGAGAGAGTCAGCGCGGTGAGGAGAGGCATCTCAGGCATCTCCGGGGCAAGCACACACCGATGCTCTCTCTCTCTCTCTCTCCCTCACATTGAACACTGCCCTCGACTCACCCACTTTCCAGATGTCTGCCTGCCGATGCAGTGGCCGTTGATACTCACCTGCGTGGACCGCCGGCACGCCCCCGCCAGGGGCAGCAGCACGGCGCGTCCCTGCTGCAGCCGTCGCGGCCCCGTGTGCGCGCGAGTGGCCAGCTGGGGGCGCGGCTCCGCGCCCCTGCTTGGCAGCCGGAGCAGGTGAGAGCGCCCTCCAGGCTCTCGGGGAACAAACAATGACGTAAACAGAAACTCTCGGAGGCAGAGGAAAGAGAACTATGCACATACACCGATTCTGGCCAGGACCATCCTGAGCCCAGGATCGGTGCATACGCCCTCTTACCTCGGCCAGGAAGGTATATACACCGCTCCTGGGTCAAGGATGGGCGTTGTCGGGATCAAACAATGATGTACACAGACGACGACGACAAACAATGACGTAAACAGAAACTTTCGGAGGTCCGCGCGGATTTCTTGGATCGACGCTGCAGCCTCCCGACGGCGCCTCCGGCGCCGCTCCTGGCGCCCTCTGCGCGCCAGGGAGGGGGGTTCAGCGCCGATCCAAGAGTTCCGCGCGGACCTCCGAGATTGTGATGTTTATATCGTTGCTTGTTTCTCGAAGCTCCGAGTCCCCTGGCCTCATGATAAGGTCAGCGTGGCAAGTCGGGGGGTGAGCCGCCCACCTCCTCCCCAGACTTACCACAACTGACCTCATCGTGAGATCAAGCGGGCTCAAGGCACGATGGGCTTTCTCGCCTGCTCTGGCTGCCGACATCGGGTGCGGTGGCGCACCCGCCCCAGGACACCACCCGCGAGCACATGGGCCTGCAGCGTCTGTGTCGGGGCCACACCGTGCGACTGTCCGACCTGCTTGTAGATCCTCGATGTGACGCGTGAGACTGGGGCACACCCACTCGTTCCAGGGACACCGACATGCGACGCGTTGACTCACACTCGAGGCTCAGGCCAAAGCGTCCTCAGGACCGACTCGTTCCAGAAGGCCTCGGACGCTGAGTTGAGCCACGTGGGGCTCGCTGCCAGCTCCCAATGGCTCAGGGCAAGCTCAGAGCAGCCCCAAGCCGCCCACTAGATAGCCCCAAGGGTATCCCGAACTGCCCCAATCCCCGTCCCTCATGCCCGTCAAGATGGCCCAAAGACGCTCAGCAGACTCCAAACAAGCCCCGAAAAAAAACTCCAAATGAGCATTCCAGAATGCTCCTGAAGGCCAGAAGCCACGGATGCCGCATGTTACGGCTCTCTGGCCCATGGAGAACACGAATGTCACATGTAACTGAAGGAGAAGTCACACAAGGTAGCACTTTCTGGGTCCCGAGGAAGACAACCATCACAGGTCACGCCCCCGTAGAATCTGGGGACGCTATCTGCCACATGGGTACAGCCTGTCCTCGAACGATCGTCGCACAGGGTGCAGTGCTGCCACGGTGGCGGGAACCTACCGCAGGCACCCGGATGCAATCTACTCGCGCTCCCTGCAGGGTGCCAGAGCCAGAGCGGAGAATCTGAGGGAGGTCTGCAGAGCACACCTCAGCAGGCTCCTTCCGGCCCGTCGGGCGCCTCCCCGTCCCGCTCAACCCTGAGAGAAGCGTAGCCCCCCCCCCTTCACCCGAGTCTGAGCCTGCCTGCAGAACTGCACCTGGCCCTAGAGCTGCAGAATCGGCGCCCACGTCTGGCGGCAGACGGCGGCGATGGGCGATTCTGGCTTGAGCCTAAGCCCCCTCCAGTCTGCGGGCCGAAGCCCCTGACCCAGACCACAGGCAACAGGGGAACCAAGCTTCTGACGGCCCCCAGGCCGCCTTCGCGGGCTGGCGCGTGCAAGGCCACGGCACTGCAGTGCAGAGAGGGGAAGGAGGAGGACGAAGAGGAGGAGGAGGAGGAGAAGGGAGGAGGAGGAGAAGGAGGAGGAGGAGGAGGAGGATGAGGGGGAGGAGGGAGGAGAAGGAGGAGGAGAGGGAGGAGGAGGAGGAGGAGGGAGGAGAGGAGGGAGGGAGGGGAGGAGGAGGATGAGGAGGGGAGGAGGAGGAGGAGGAGGAGGAGGAGGAGGAGGAGGGGGGTACGAGGAGCGGCCCCCAGCAGCAGATCTGGCTCAAGAGGCGCCGCCTTCGTCTCCTCGTCGCCCTCCAGCTTCACTCCGAACCTCTGCGTGTCGCTCACGAACGTAACGATGACGCCCCGTCGGCCGTTCAGCTCCTGCCGGCGCGTCGGGCGACTGGCAGCCGCCACCCCGCCAGACAGATCGACGGGGCGGAGGCGCCGCCCGAGCGCCTCTGGGAAAACTGCCGGCGGCTCCTCTGGCGGCCTCTTGCGAGGCGGGAATGTGTCCAAATCCACCGCCTGGGAACCGACGTCCTGGTGCCCCGGGCGGGCGGTGGATATGGATATGGATATGGATATGGATAGGGATATTGGTGTATATATATATATATATGTATATATAGTCTGTCTGTCTGTCTGTCTGTCTGTCTGTCTGTCTGTCTGTCTGTCTGTCTGTCTGTCTGTCTGTCTGTCTGTCTGTACATACGTATGAATATACCCCCAATCAGTGCTTGCACTGAAGGGGTCCTAGCGGAGGTTGAAGATTTGGCAAAAATATTTCCCGCCGATTTTAGACGCACGCTGGGTTCCCTGTTCGCCGGTTCCGGATTTCCGGGTTCCCGATTCCCGGGCCGATTTCGGTGGGCGGCGAGGTTCCAAGGTTCCCGGGTTCCTGGTCGATCTTCTTATCGATCGGTCTCAGCATCGATCTCATTTGCCACACCTCTATCGATCTCACCATCGATCCCACAATCGATCTCACAATCGATCTCGCAAGCGATCTCACTAGAGATCGCACGAGCGATCTCGCGATGGGTCTCCCTGTCGATCTCATTGGATCGATGTCACTCCCGGTCTCCAAATCGACCTTACAATCGTCCTCTATCGATTACACTATCGATCTCATTATCGATCTCACAATCGATCTCAAGATCCTTATGACTAATGTTCAAATCATCCACTGATTGGGTTTTCTCAGGTGTATTTTATATATATATATATATGTATTGTCGCCCCCGGGGTGGCCCGCAAGTATGCATGTCCACCGCCTATGGAGGTCCGCGAAGATCGACCCCCAGGCGGTGGTTATGGATCAATTCCCGCCTCGGACCTTTGGCCTCCCCCCGTCCGCACGCAGTTAGGTCAAGCATGTCTCCCTACTGGAAAAGGCACGGACAAGCACCACCAGACTACGCCCAACTGAACACTACAGACGGGAACTTGCTCCGAGGGGCCCTGGAATAGTAGAGGCCATCGCCGCTGACGACGCACAGGCGCCGCCAAGCGTAGAGAAAAACCGGGCACCACATCGAGCCGCCTCGCCGATGCATCGGCGATGCGCCGCGATCCTCCGACCCCACCTGCTCTGACCCCCATCTGGGATGCCAGGAAAGAACCGGCGGCGGTTTTGTAATTAGTCGTCCCCCCCCGCAGACCGCAACGAAATTCGGCCACGAATGTACTCATCCGCATAGGCTCCGATGTCGTGATTTTTTCCAAACGGGGCCCCCCGGAAGTCTCGACCCATTCCCAAGGACTGGTTTTTCACCCCGAGTCGCGTTGTTGACGGTCCCGGGGCCTGGCGAGGGCCCCCATGAGGCCGAAAAATAAGAAACACCTCCGTCGTGATTTTTTCAATGCGCTGGACCTCTGGATGGTCGGGGGCGGCAAAGAGGGGGGTGTCCAAGAGGTGGGGGTGCAAATCATGACCGGCGGCATGTGCGCGGCCCATCGGGGGGGCCAGGGACGCAATGAAACAAGAAGGGGCGCCACGAAATCTGGGGAAAAATCATGGCCCCCGCCATGATATCCACCCCCCCTAGTCATCACCCCCCCTCTTTTCCGCCCCCGAGGTGGGATGGCCCCCAGAAACCGGAGCTCCTCACTGGCCAGGGTGGCCCCTCCTCCCGGGGCGCCAGCTGGCAGGGGGCCTCGGCCGGGGCAGAGCCGGGGCGCGCGGCCCCGCGGGCACACCGCGTCAGAGAGGGCCCCGGGAGTGCCGAGTCTAACCTGCGAGCCCAGAGATCGAACGCATTGACAAAAATCAGGACGAAGGTTTTTCGTATGTTTCGCCCTCGAGGGGCCCTCGCTGGGCCCCGGGACCGTCAAAAAAACGACTCGGGATGAAAAACCGGTCCTGGGGAATAGGTCGAGACTTCCGGGGACTCCGTATTGAAAAAATCACGGCATCGGATCTCTGGGGAATGCCGCTTTTAATCTTCAAGGGCATTTGGCATTTCGTGTCAGTCTACCACTACCCCTCCCTCGATCCCCCGGCGGTGGATCAAAGTGTCCCAGGACCTCCTCGTCGCGGCGGCGGCGGAGATTCTCTTCCCTCGATTGCTGGGCGGGCTGGGGCAGTGTTTGGGGGTTCTTCCTCCAGGAAGAGGGGGGCGATCGCGGCATGGCATGAGGCATGCGCGCAGTCGGTGAGGGGGGCCAGGGGGTGTGCTGGACAGAAGAATAGGGGGGCGTGAACCTGGGAGGCTTCCTTGCCCTGGCCACGATACCAATCGGTCGGAAGAAGTGGGTAGAAGCAAGAAGTAGGCAGGCGTGGAAAGTAGGTTGGGTTCCGTCCGCCCCATAAGGAGGACGCAGAAGGTGAAGCCACTCGATCATTGCAGTAGGAAGGCGCCCTAAGTGGATCGAAATCTGGGAATCCAAAAATACCTACTTTCAACGACTGATGGGTACCCACTCACCCCCATCACCCCCCTCTTGGGCGCCCCCAAAAGCGCTGGGGTTGGCGGGGCCGGGGGGGGGGGGTCCGTCCCGAGTCCGCGCACCGAACAATCTCCTCCCAGCCTCAATCACATTTTCCCGCCAAGGGCTCGGGCCCAGGGTTCTCCGTTAGGATGTCGACTACACGTAAGAGTGACCCTGGGTAAAGAGTGACCTTTGGTGCGCGACTCATTGGGGGCCGCGGGTGGACCAAACACAGCACGTAACGCGCTACTATCGCATCGCGTTCGGCGATCGGGGGAAGCCCAATGGGCCCGCACAAAAGGTCACTCCGGCGAAAGGTCACTCTTACGTGCAGTCGAGGATGGCAATCTGTCCGCCGTGTGGGCGGTCTGGCCGCTGTGTTCCCTGCGTCGCCGCCTCGTCGCCGCCTCGTCGCCACCCGTCGCCTGGGCCGTGTGGGCGGTATGGCGGCTCTGTTTCCGCCGTCGCCGCCCCGTCGCCGCCTCGTCGCCGCCCGTCGCCTGGGCCTGTCTGCCAGTCTGGCGGCTACGATGCTGCCGTCGCCGCCCCGTCGCCGCATAGATTCTCATTTCCTCCTCCTCCTCCTCCTCCTCCTGCTCCTCCTCCTCCTCCTCCTCCTCCTCCCTCCTCCTCCTCCTCCTCCCTCCTCCTCCTCCTCCTCCTCCTCCTCCTCCTCCTCCTCCTCCTCCTCCTCCTCCTCCTCCTCCTCCTTCCTCCTCCTCCTCCTCCTCCCTCCTCCTCCTCCTCCTCCTCCTCCTCCTCCTCCTCCTCCTCCTCCTCCTCCTCCTCCTCCTCCTCCTCTCCTCCTCCTCCTCCTCCTCCTCCTCCTCCTCCTCCTCCTCCTCCTCCTCCTCCTCCTCCTCCTCCTCCTCCTCCACATCATCCCTCCTCAGCTGCGATCGGGAACTCTTGCGTAGCGCGTCGCGGCGGCAGCCCCAGCAGACACGCCATGCCCCACGCCCTGCGAGCGAACAGCACATCGCCCGGATTCCGCGGGGCGGGAGGCTCGGGAGGACTCCGGACGTGGACGATTTGGGGACCCGGAAAAGGACAGCGTGTCGCGCAGAGGCGTGGTGGGCCAGAACCGGCGGAGGGACACGCTCGCGCGCACCCTGGCACGCGCTCCTGCCCGCCCTCGCTTTCTTTGACCGCCTCGCACCCACCCTTATCCATCCTTTTTTCCTCGAAAAGAGCTCCTCCCTGTCGCGCCCCGAGACGTGTCGGTAGGGCGGGCCGGGCATTTCGCCTGAGACTTCCTCACCATGCGAAAAGTCAGCATGCGCTTCATACATGGAAGGATATCCGTTTTCAGCATGTGGCTCTCGCCTTCGCGCTGCGCACAGTCGCCTGAAGAGCTTGCAGCAGTTTCACGGGTTCTTATGGCTGGCGTCCAAGGAATGGTATTTTGGCACGTTGTAAGACTGTCAGGACGCAACGGATGCGTTGATTCGCGGTGTTGAACTCCCAGGAAGAATGCTCTGGCACGATTCAGGGCAGTACCGTTGGCTCTTGGCGTCGAAATCCCAAGAATGGCTCTGGCACGGCTCACGGTTTTCATACGTTTTCCTCCCAACGGGACACTTCCCTAACTGAAAATGACTCCTTGTAGGGACCCATGAAGAGGGAACATGAAGGGAGGTTGATTGCAATATCGTTGATGGGTCTTGGGTTTACACTGGTCCCTCCTCCTCCTCCTGCTGCTCCTCTTCCCTCCTCCCTCCCTTCCTCCCTCCCTCCTCTTCCTCTTCCTCCTTCTGCTCCTCCTCCTCCTCCTCCTCCTCCTCCATCCTCCCTCCTTCTTTCCCTCCCTCCCTCCCTCCTTGCTCCTCCTCCCTCCTCCCTTTCCTCCTCCTCCTCCTCCTCCTCCTCCTCCTTCCTCCTCCTCCTCCTCCTCCCCTCCCTCCTCCTCCTCCTCCTCCTCCTCCAACTCCTCCTCCTCCTCCTCCTCCTCCTCTTCCTCCTCCTCCTCCTCCTTCCTCCTCCTCCTCCTCCTCCAACAAAGCGCATCGAGCTCTCCTTCGCGCCATTCAGCCCGAAGATCTCGACGGTGTCGCCGACTAGCAGGTCGACGCCTGCGGGCACTGCAGGGGAGGAGAGGGGGGGGGGCAGTGAGCAGGAGAGAGGAAGAATGACTCCATCCACTTCTCCATTCCTCCGTTCCTCCTGATCCTCCTCCTCCTGCTGAGTTCCTCCATTCCTCCTGCGCCTCCTCCTGCTCCTCCTCATTATCAACATTCGATGGGGTCGCGTTCGTACTTGGATTCAATCGCATCACTCCACTCCACCTCCTTCCACATCCCCCCTCCTGCTCCTCCTCCATCAACATGAATCACCCCATCCTGGCGGACTGAGCGCGTCCTGGCCATTATTTCGAGGCGGAGGTGGAGGACGAGGAGAAGGGAGAAGGGAACGAGGAGGAGAAGGAGGACGTGGGAGGAGGACGAGAGAGGAGAGACACTGGTGAGGAGGATTCGAGAGAGGGGGTCAAACCATGTTCCACGCCGCCCGTTCGGTCGATGTGAAAGTTCAGGAATTCCAGGTGTCATGCGTCCAAGGTTCACAATATTGTTCTGAGGCCCCAAAATGAAACTGGCATCACAAACCAAGGCAGCCCAACACGTTCGAAGGCGGAGCTCACGAAACACGCGAGAGCACACTGGGGGGTGCCGTCGACCGTCCAGCGTAACACCACCATCATCCTTATCGGCATCGTCATCCTCATCAGCATAGTCGGTTTCGTTCTCATCAGCAGCATCACCAGCAAAACAATGATAATCATAATCATCAGCATCATCATCATCATCATCACCATCATCATCATCATCATCAGCATGATCACCACCAGCATCAACATCATCATCATCATCATCATCATCATCACCATCATCATCATCATCATCATCATCAATAACCTCATCATCAACATCATTAATATCATCATCAACATCATCACCATCACGATCATCATCAACATTATCATCATCACCGTGATCATCATCAGCATCAGCATCAGCACCATCAACATCATCAATACAATCATGGTCAATATCATCATCACCATCACCGTCACAGTCAGCAGCATCACAATCATCATCACCACCACCAAATTCACCATCACCAACATCACCATCACCATTGCCACCACCATCGTCATCACCATCATCAGCAGCATCATCACCAGCATCAGCATCAGCATCAACATCAACATCAGTACCACTATAACACCAGGATCAGCATCAGCACATATCGCGCTCCTCCTGCGCTGCTGGTTGCCTTGGTGTGTCTGCGCATATTTGTGCATGCCTGTGTATGTCTACGTGTGTGTGTGTACGTCTATGCATATCTGCGGAGGTCTGTGCATGTCCGTGTTCTGTCGTGCTGCCTGATGGCGCACAAGACTCCTGCACCCCCAGAGACCCGATGTCGAGATTTTGTCACTGCGCGGTCCCTGGAAGTCTCGACCCATTCCCAAGGACCGTCTTTCGAGTCCTTTTTGGACGGTCCTGGGGCCCGGCGAGGGCTTCTCGAGGCCCCCCCCAAAAAAATACGTCTTGATTTTTGTCAACGCGTTGGATCCATGGGCCCTCTCCTCATCGAGACGGTCGGCCCTCTTCCGCCTCGCCCCCAACACTTTGGAGTCCCGAAACGGTGCGGTGACAGACCGTGCGGTGACCTCGTAATCCCCCAAGACCTCACCGCACGATCCGTCACCGCACGGTCCTGGGGCCCCGGAGCCCCCTGGAGCCCGGGACGTCCTCGGGGAACGACCCGAGTCCCAAAACCGTGCGGTGACCCCGAATCCCCACCGACTCACCGCACGTTAGGAAGCAACTGCTGGGAGGTCTTCGTCGGAAAGATAAAGGGGGATTAAGCCCCATTGCGGGTCCCTTACGCCGGAGTTGGCCTCGGATTAAGAGGGGTTAAGCCAGATGAAGCGGGATCTAGCGGGATCAAGCCGGATTAAGCAGGCTTAAGCCAGATTTCGGATCAGGGCAACATCAGAATTGGACCTCCCAGGAGCTGCATCCGAGCGCACGGTGTGGTCACCACCCCGTCTGGGGGCCCCGGAGCACCCCGCCACGGGGCCCTGCCACCGGCAAGGTCGCCCGCGCTCCCTGGCCGGCCTCCCCGTCTGCACAGCACGGGGCCCAAACACCACCGCGTGGGAAGGCTGCGAGGCTGGCCCGTCCCCTGAGATCGGCAACGTCAGGTCGGGCGTGTCCTCCTACAGTTAGGTCGGGCACGTCCCCCTACAGGCGGATTTTGGACGACAAATAACAAATACCCCAACAATACCCCAAGATTGTCAAAACATACTAAAAGAATAGTCACCTGACTATTTTTTGACTATTTTTGAATATCCCTCCTGTAGAGGGACAGGCCCGACTTAATCCTACAAGTGGATTTTGGGCAAAAAAAAAATACTATCAAAAACATGATTGAGACAATTATCAATTAAGAGAGCTGGGCCAGCTTTCAATCTGTCTTTGAAGGAAGCGCTGGGCCAACTTTTGGAACCAAGAACGTACACGATTCATTTCTAGGGTCCAAGGCTACCTATCCCCTTACGAAACTGAGCCAGCTTTCCGGCAAGTTGGTTAAGAAACGCTGGGCCAGCTTTTCGGGGGGAGGTTTCTAAATCATAAGCGGGACCGTAATTAAAAATAAGCATAGTATGCGGAACAATATTTTACAAACAAAAACGTCCCCTGACTATTTTTGACTATTTCTGAATATTCCCCCTGTAGAGGAACACGCCCGACTTCACGGCAACGTCACAAAAGAAGACCGACCAAGGCCCTGGACCCTATTTTACTGCGGTGCTCTTCGAGCCAGGTCGATCCGTGAGGATCCTGGGGCCCGACCCGAAACAAGGCAAGATCGCTCGCTGCGAAACAACTGCGACGCAACTAATCTCCAGGCCCAGACACCCGGCGTCATGACCTGTTCATGACGTCGACCCTCAGAGGTCTCGACCCATTCCCCAGGACCGGTGTTTCATCCTGAAGCGTGTTCTGACGGTTCCGACGCCCGGTAATGGCCCCGCTGAAAAGATCGAAACGCCCTACGTCGTCTTGCTCGACGGGGTCTGGGGGGTCGGAGATGTGGAGTCTTGCCCGCCTGGGGGAAGCTCAGAGAACGAGAGGGCCCCAGCCGGCGGGCAGAAGACTGCTCAGCGCAACGGGAAGGGATGGTTGGGAGGGGTAGGGTATGGCAGGGTGGCAGCTGTGGTGCTAGCGCACCTGGCTTGCATCATTCCTCTCTGTCCCTCTCTCTCTCTCTCTCTCCTCTTTCCTATCTCATCTCTCCTCCTCCTCCATCGTCCTCCCTCCCCATTCCTCCTTCTCATCACCCCCCTTCTCTTCTGCTCCTCTCCTCTCTCTCCTTCCTTCCTCGCTCGCTCCTCTCCCCTCCTCCCCTCCCGCTCTCTCTGCTTCCTCCTCCTCCTCCTTCTCCGCCTCCATCCTCCGTCCTCCCTCCTCCTCCTCCCTCCTCCCTCCTCCTCCTCCTCCTCCTCCTCCTTCTCCTCCTCCTCTTCCCCCTCCCCTCCTCCTCCTCCTCCTCCTCCTCCTCCTCCTCCTCCTCCTTCTCCCCCTCCATACCTCCTCATAAACGACTCCCCCCTGTCGCACCCTGAGACGTGTCAGTAGGGCGGGCCAGATGTTTCTCCTGAGACTTCCTCACAACTTATGATCTGAAACTGACAAGTTGCACGAGATTCACGGAAGGAGGGCGGAACGTTTTCAAAATGTGGCTCTCGCCTTAGTGCTTCGCACATTCGCCTTGCAAGTTTGCAAGGGCTTCACTGATGAAGGGCCGGTGGTTTTCAAAATGTGGCTCTCGCCGTAGCGCGTCGCACATTCGTCTAAAAGTGTATGCCACTTTCAAGGAATCTCATGGCTGACGCCCACGAATGATTCCATGGCAAGATAAGATGTAGGACTGCCAGGGCGCAACAGTCACGTTGATTCGCAGCGCTGAAACTCCCAAGATTCAGGATCGTCAGGACGCGACAATAACGTTGGCTCGCGGCGTTGAAATTTCAAGATCGGTGTGTTGGGCACGATTGACGGTCCGAAGACAATTGTTTCCTAACGGGACACTTCCCGCAATGAAAATCCGCCGACCCTGTCGGCGTGTGCGAGGGGCTTGGCTGTTCGAGTCGTCGTCTCCGTCGGTCGTCGCCTCCGTCGTCCCCTTTCCCTGCAGCTTCCTTCTCAAGCTCGTGAGCGAGAGAAAAATCGAGCAGTGTCGTAATCGAGTCGAAGGGAAGCCCCTTCCCTTTGATCCCTTCCCCAGAGGGGGGGGGGGTCCCGGGGGGGGTCCCGGGGGGGGGGGGGGGTCCCGGGGGGGTCCCGGGGGGGGTGGGGGGGCAGATTCGTTTTTCCTCGGGCGGCCTAGAAACCTCGAAAACACTCCAAATGAGGTCCGAATGCCCAAGATGGCCCCCGAGACGGCCCAAGAGGGCCCCGAGTCGCCCAAAGATCGGCCGAAAACGCCCAAGATAGCCCCAAGACCGTCCAAGAAGCCTCCAAGACGTCCCAGGCCCCCTCCAAGAGACCCCCAGGAAGCCCCAAGAGGCCCCCACGAGGCTTCCAAGCGGCCCCTAAGAGCTTCCCAAGAGGCCCACAAACTACCCCCAAGAGGCCCCCAAGAGCGCTCGTCGTCGTCGTCGTCGTCGCCATTCAGGGTCGGCGGCACCGGCCGTAAGGCCTTCGCAATAAATGCTCGTAGAGACCTATGAACCATGAAGACAAGAGGGAACTTGGAGGAGGGTTTATTGCAACATCGTTGACCAGCGCCGGATGGCACGGGCACGGGCCAACCTTCGGACCCAAGGCGCCACAACAAAAATCGCAACGGCAATCTCCCTAGGGTCGGGAACTTTTGCTTAGCGTGTCGCCGCAGTGACCCCGGTGGCACGCTACGCCCTGCAGACGGATTTCGCGTCGTTCCGCTCCGCGGGGCGGGGAGTTCGGAAAGGCTCGGGACGTTGAAAACTGGGGACTGGGAAATGGATAGCGTGTCGCGACGAAGCGCGGTGGGCCAAGTCTGGCGGGCGGCTCGACACGCGATCCACAAGTTCCTGATCGTAAACAAAGAATGTTGTGAGGGGTCTCGACTGTTTGAAGAAAGGAGGCTCTGAAACCGAGTGCGGAAAACGGTGCCGAACCTGCGCACTCATGCGGAAAAAGGTGCCGTGCCGCGTCGTGCCACGCCGCACCGGGTCCGTGCTGGAATCCTGGAATGCGCAACGTTTTTTTTCGTCGGCGGCGAGATATAATATCTGCACCAACGATAAACCTAAACGGAGACACCGGGAAACGGATTATCCAGCACGCAGGAATGGAATGCGAAAAACATGCGGTGCAGCGCGCTTGTCGGGCCGATTGTTCCAGCGGTTGTGCTTGGGGTCTCTCTGCCGGTGCAACTTTTCCAAATGTGCGGCCTGCGCCAATACCAGGCCCCAAGACCGTTTCGAGCAGCGGCTCGGAATGGAAAGCCCTCCCGGGGAGGTGAAGAGGAGGAGGAGGAGGAGGAGGAGGAGGAGGAGGACGACGAGGAGGAGGAGGACAAGGGGGGAGGAGGGGGAGGAGGAGGAGGAGGAGGAGGAGGAGGAGGAGGAGGAGGAGGAGGAGGAGGAGGAGGAGGAGATGAGGAGAAGGAGAAGGAGGAGGAGGGGGAGGGGGAGGAGGAGGTTAGGCACGCCACTAGGAGGAGGATTAGGTTAGGCTCGCCATGTCGTGCAGGCACAGAAGCCCCTGCACGACATGGCGAGCCCGTGGAAATCACTTCATCCATCCAATTCCACAGCCGCTCGTCGGCCCTTTCGGCACGGTGGGGGCCGACTCCCAAGTGCCAGGGTCTCGGGCGCACTGGGGCTCGCGACGGGCGGGCGCGCGGCGGCGGCGGCGGGGGACTCAGAAGGCGGAGGCCCTAACTCGCCGCTGGCAGACGACGGGAACATCTCCCCTTCGGCGGGCCCTTGTAGCCGGGATATCTTCCATCACGAGTGCGGTTTAACGCGTCCTGGCCATTCTTGGTGATGACCTCCTCGCACTTCGCTCTCAAACCCTTGCCGATCGCAGTGCCATACGCCGCGCGTTTAGCGCAGAACCAAAGGCCGCACTTCGTCCATTCACTGACAGTGCGTGTGGGATGTAACCTGCCATTGCCCATAACGCGATCACCCTTGACGTCGACTACAGCATTGAAGGTGATGAAGGTGGTCTCGCACGGTGTGTCCACGAACTCCCGTGGGGCATCTGCGGTGACATAACTACTGCCTGCAAGCCGTGCAAAACCACGTATTCTTTAGCTTGACCATGTCGCGCTTTGACTTCTGAGCCATGACTTTTGTTGTATCGATATGTACTTTGAGCTTGGCTGTCGACGGTCGTTCGGCGCACCAAGGATCAGCATCCGCCAGGTCGGCCAGCGCCTGTCGTGCTCGGAGTCGAACATGAGCGCGAATCGCATCCCACTCGTCCGTGCGCGGCAGCTGTTGACATACCATTTCCCAAGACGGCTCTGCTGCGACTGCCACCAATGCATCCGCGAAGCTGTTGCCCACCGCGAAGATCGGGTTGACCACTTCCGCCTCGTCGTCGTCCTGATGGGAGGGTGTCCACTCCGCCTCGATGTGCCGTTGCTCGTTATCCGTGATGCCTCGCCCGATGCGTGCCCATATACCTGCGTTATTATCGCGCCCTGGGTCTCGAGCTTTGCCTTTGTTCCAAGCGTTGAGCAACGGGTAGTGGTCCGTGACGTAGGCGATATCTCCAACAGTCTCTTCGATCGCGATCGCGAAAGCTGTGAACTCTGCCCTAGGAGCCGTCTGCCGCCGCCCAGGTAGATATGCCATCGTGCCCGCTGTCATGTTCCACTCCCCGTCGATCATCTTCGTGGCTGCTACTCCGATGCCGACTTTTCTGCCCATGGGATCTGCCCCGCGCACTCCCCCCGATCTGTCTCCGAAGATGCATGGCTTTCTGCCGGGAACTCTGGCTTGCTCGAAGGAGCCGAACCTAACGCAGTCCTGCCTGTCGACGTCGGGGACGATCGGGCGCGTGAGCTCCTTCGGAGGAACACCTCGCAACCATAGCGCTGGGTTCGCGTCAACTCCTGCCGGCGCTTTCGTCACAAGGTAGTCTGTCTCTCATATGCCTCGCTCCCTTTGTTACAATGGCATGTGTAGATACGATGGGCAGTTTCTCTGGCTCCTGTTTGCACCGGCCGCAGGTGTCAGAACCCCATCCGTAGCCGGCTTGGACTTGTCTAGCTCTTGGCCACTGTCCACCTGTAACGACGGCGTTGTTGAGAGCCCAATCGTGCCATTCAGCCTTGTCCGCGCGCCGCTTATGTTCTCTGCCGATATGCCAGACGTCGCCTACATTGCGCAAGTCTTCGCCGTGTGGGTGCGTGGCCGCTTGCTTCCACCTCGCCGTGTCCAAGTCGGTCTCGAGATCTTCCAGGAGCTGAATGGACTCGATCACGTCCACATCGCATCTGCCCTGCTGGTCTATAAATGGTAATCGCCATTATTTGTCTCCTTGTGGCGTGGGTCGCTTCCATAATGCCGATTGAACTGGCTTCCACCCTGCCGCGATAAGAATCGCCTGCAAAGCGCGACGGGTCCGCGAACTGTATGCCACATTTTAATGTCAGCCAGCTCGAAGAAGGGCTCGGTACGTAGGTGCCCAGATCGGCCGCACTCGCTTGTGAAGTTCTGGGTGGAGAAGCCATTGGTGCAGCCATTCGCTAACCAGCTGCCGTCGTGAAGATATACCTGGGTCTTTGAGATGATAGAACGCTGCCATTCCAGTAGATAGGCATCGCCCTGGGCCTGGTCCCGCAGCCGATCGCATAGCCATCCGTCAAAGGTCTAATCTCCGACTGGGTGCTACCCCCCAGACTTCGTGCCCGAACGTAGCTTGAGGTGCCGCGCCCGTCGAAGAGAGGCCCTGGGTAATCTTCGCGACTCTGGTGGCCATGCGTCGTAGTCGAAAGATCTTGCCCGCGCGCTGCTTTTCTTTGTCGTGCTGTAGCCTTTTTGTTCTGAGCGCGCTTGCCTATGCCGCTGACGTCGGTGCCCAGGTCGACCATGTCCGCTCGGTGCTTGCCTGGGAGCCCTCGCTGTGCGAACCTTCTCCAAAACCATCGTCGTAGCTGAGGGTTCGAAGCCACCAGTACTGTCGTAGGTGAAAAATATTGAGATTTCTGCTTGCTGCATGATAAATATACTCGTCCGCGAGCTCCGCCAT